AAGGTATTTCCTTTCCATGTGTTTCGGTGTCACGCACCCTCACCGCCGTACGCTTTCGTCGTTTTTTAGCAATGTGTTCTGCTTTCCGCAGGGCCACTGCGGGGAAATGCATTTCAATGCTAGCGGGTCGACGACGGCGATAGTAGTTGCAAGAGGCGTGAAAGTTGTCGCCTGTGACTTTAAATAACAGCATTTTGTTATATGTTGAATCAGGGCAACCTCTCTTTCTTCTTTGTACTTGGACCGGAATCCCCTTGTGCTAGGAATTCCTGCACTCGTCGCTGGTAATTATAGTGTTGGATATGCTGAGATGATCCTAGATGATACCACATGCAAGCACGCTTCGCTTTTGAAAACAGTGGCTTCCTTTTTTGAAACTCGTGGACACAACGTTTCGTCGTCCGTGGCCTCAAATGACCTTGTTCAAGACCAACAAACAGAAAACACACGGCTGTGTGGGGGCGTGTTTTTGAGGACATTGCCTGGCTCATCCTAGCTCTGACTGCCTTGACTACACTTGTCATTTGTGGTCCTGGTCCAGTGATGCTGGTGAAGCTCACTCGCAAAGGAGGCGTGTAGGCCTGTCAAACAATCATTCGCCGACACTGTCAGGGACAACTGTGAAGAACTGCTGCGTCCTGTGAAACGCAACAATCATTTTGTCAAGTGGTCCTTCCAATCTCCACCACTGGGGAATTCCAGCATATATCATGATATATCATTATATAATATATAATATTTTTCAATAACACTAACCTAACACGTGACACATGTCTAAGAAACAGCAGGTTCCTAAATCCTGCTTTCTAATCTATATAATCATAATCTCAACGAGCCTCATGCTTTCAAGATAGCTGTGCTGAGCACTGCTGGGTTGTTGGCTTGTCAGGATTGTTTTAAATTAAGGTTGATGCTGTCGCAACTCCGCTTGCGACTGTGGTGGCCTTGGGAATGAAGCCAGTCTCCGCAAGCTCATCTCCTTGGCTCATTGGACGGCGCCCACAATTCCCAACCAACCCAAAGCGGTCCCATCGTCCCAAAGATACATAAAGGTACAGCTGCAGTCCCGAAAATCATAGAATCTGCCGACAAATCAACTCTCCCAGTACCAATGGACCAAAAGAATCATGCACGGTCCAGTCGAAATGGCGTGTCCAAGTGTCGATTAAAGCTTTGTGGTGTTGTGTATCGGCAACCACCGGATGTTTGGCAAGAATCGGCAGATGGGCACTGGGAAAAGCCTTGGAAAAAATATGGTTGAAAACTGATGGGTTGATGAACCAGGAGATACAATGTCAGCTTCTTTGTTCTTGGAATGTCCATACGCAGGCACTAAGGTTGCGGCCATAGATTCGATAGCACTGCTCACATGCCATGAATGCACCGTTGCGGTCTCCAGGAGCTGTCACAACACAAAAACTCTGACTTCGGAAGTCTCCGACACGTCGTCGACGGTGAATCTCCCAAGAGTCGCCGTACATGTTGTTGTAAGCATACCTAGGAGGACAATGACTGATTGACAGGAGGCAAACATTAACATCCGCTACATTCCGAGTAATATGCAGTGTATGTGGTGCCTGATCAACATTCCTTTTTTCCATTGTATAGTGAACTTCTAGCAGGTAGAGTACAAAAAAACATTTACTTGCAAATAGAATACGCTCAGATAGTGGTTTTGGAAGAAAAAAGAGACATAGAATATGGGGAAAAATCACTCGCACATAGAATATGGCAAAGCACTGGCCGCAATTCTTTTCCCTTCCCAACTCGCATTCTCATGTGCGCCGAAAGATACATGCAGGTGCCTGGGGGTTGGCATGTTTTGCCAACTCTTCTGTACTTTGGAGTGTTGTCTGCATTCCATGCAGTGCTCCATCAAACTAGTCCTTGTGTGGGGGTTCTGCAGCTCGCGCTTGTTGAGCTCTTGCCAATTGGCTTTTGG